ACCCCCATAAACATCCCAACCACGATAAACCATACACACCACACACACACAACAACTTTCACACCCAAAACTCTAAACCACCCCTCTCCAACTCTAACCACCTATACAACACAAAACCCTCCTAAACTCAAACATCCTCACCAATTAAACTATTACTCTAAACTCATAACTACAACCACACTACAACATCAACACTTCACAACCACACACCCACCAATAAAAAACCTATACATCACATAAACCATCCCTCAAAAAAACCCAACTTCAAACTCACCAACCTCATATAAATCTAAACTCATTAAAACAAACCCTCACACCCATCACCACCACCAAACACTCTAAACACTACTCAACACTAAACCACACTCAACACAAAACCCTATCACTCACACTACCATACAACATAAACATAAACCTCCCTAACTTAAACCCTCCTCTTAACTCTAACCTCCTCATACAAACTCAAAACCTTCTTCACTACTACACCACCTTCCAACTTAAACTCCCTTACTCTAAACCTCCTTACACCCTAAACCACTCTTAACTTAAACCTCCTTAACTCAAAACTCCACTTAATCTAAACCACCACACACCATCTCACCACACCTCAACAAAACACTTCACTACTAACCCACCTCACAACACACCATAAACTCAAAACCCTCCCTTCCAACTCTAAACCTCTCTTCACAATAAAACACCACTCAACTCAAAACCTTTCTTTCACTCTAACCTCCCTCTCAACTCAAACCTCCTTAACTTAAACCACTCACCCTCTAAACCCTCCTTAACACTAAACCTCCATAACTCTAAACTCTAACAACACTAAACCCCTCACTCAACTCTCAACCACCTAAACTACTACCCCCTCCATAAATTTAACCCTCCCCTTTAACTCTAACCCTCCTCTTCACTCTAAACTCCTCATATAAACTTACATCCTTTCAACTCTAAACCTCTCTTAACTTAAATTTCTTAACTTAAACCTCCTCTCAACTCATACACATCCCCTTTAAACACAACCTCCTCTTATAATCTAAACTCTCTTAATTAACCCTCCTACAATAACACTCCTTCCACTCTACAACATCAACTCAAAACCTCCCTTCAACTCTAACACCCTTAACTTCAAACACCTCTCACACTAAAACCTCCTTCACATCTAAACCTTCCTTTAACTTACACCTCCTCTTACACCAAACACCCTCCCTTTAACTCTAACCCTCCCCTTAACCTCTAAACCCTCCTCTAAACTCTCAACCTCTCTCACCTCTAAACTCCCTAACTCTAAACCTCTCTTAACTCTAAACACTCCTCTAACTTCCCACACTAATCACTAAACCTCTCTCCACTTAAACCCTCCTCTTAAACTCTAACCTCCTCTCCACTCTAAACCTTCCATTCAACTCTAAACCCCCCCCCTTAACTCTAACTCCTTAATTAAACCTCCTCTTAACTCTAAACACCTCTCAACTCTAAACTCCCTTAACTCTAACCTCCTTAAATCTAACCTCCTCTTAACTCTACAACCTTCCTCACAACTCTAACCCTTCCTTAACTTAAACCTCCTCTTACCACTTAAAACTCCCTCTTAACTCTAAAACCTCCCTCTTAACCTAAACCTCCTTCATAACTTAAACCTCCTCTTCAATCTAAACTCCTCTTAAAATCTAAATCCTCTTAACCTAAACCTCCTCTTAACCCTACCTCCCTCTTATAATCTAAACCTACCTCTAACTTAACCTTCCCTTTCTAACTCAAAACCTCCTCTCCATACTCTAAACTTTCAAAAACCTAAACAACAACAAACAACAACACCACACCCATACAACCAATCCCTCACACAAAACAACAACAAACTACTCTACTCTAAAATAACATCATAAATAATACACTAACCAAACCTCATTACCAAAAACATACTCTAATCTAAAAACACCCAAAATATCAACACCAATAACACATACACAACACACAAATATATATATAACAACTCATAAATACAATCCCCATCCACACCCCAATTCTCCCACATACAACAAAAACCCAATTATAAACCCTACCTACCTAAATAACCAACTACCACCCTTATAATACATAAATCCTACCATACATCATAATAAAAAACCCATTCCACTTCCATTCAATATACACCACACCAAAAAAACCCACCCCAATTTCAAATCTACACCAAAAAAAATATCCTAAAACACCTAACACCATATCACAATTCAAAACAATAAAAACCATCCAACCCCCCTACCCACACTAATCCATCCCCATAAAAACCCCCCCCCCACCCCAAACACCCAACCCCCACAATCACTCACCTTTAAAACATTATCCCATAAATAAAAAAACAACCCCCTAAAAACCCAAAAAAATACCCTTCACATACCACTCATTTAATCAATATAATCCCAACATAACACATCCCTTAATTCTTTCTTTTCCCTCATACAACATTATACATATCACCCCACAATATCCACACTAAACTTCCTAAAAATAAATATCACATTACCACATTCAACAAATCCTCCCCCAAAAACCAACCCACAATAATCAAAACTATAAAATATCCAAATATCATATCTATATCACCCTTATATCTCCTATTATCATTTAACCCTCTATATCCCCTATTATCATACCCCTATAATCATACCTATTATCTACCTAAATCATACATATTATCATACCCTTATTATCATATCCCCACAATTATCAACCCATTTTATAAACCCCCCTATTATCATACCAATTAATCATAACCCCCTATTACATACCCAAAAAAACAAACCCATAATCAACCTTTCATTATTCATACTCCAATTATCCTACCCATCTAATCATACACATAACAAACCCCTAAAAACCACCACAAAAAACCTCAAAACCACCCCATAAACCTATCCCATCCCCCAACCAAAAACAAAACACCCCCCACCCCCCCCTCTACCCCCATTCTTCCAAAAACATAATACCCACAAACCATCCCAACACACACAACCATCTCACCACTCTCAACCATTCTTCCATTTCACACCTTTACTCTCAATCTCACCTTTCACACACTTCAACATTTTCCATCTTATTCCCTTACCTTTTCACTATACCACTAACACACACATCCTCATTTAAACTCTAACTCTATATCACCTCACATCTCCCATACAACCAAAACACCCACACACCACACACAAAACATAACCACACACCAACTACCCAACAACAACTCTCATCAATACACACCACTCACGACACACACAAAACACCTCACCTAAACAAACAATCTCTCACACCAATCACACCACACTTCACACACTACACACACAACCCATCTCACAACACATCTACAACCTCTCTCTCTCTTTCCTCTCACACTCATTAAAAACACACACACCACTCAACTAACATACCCTTCTCTTTCCCTCATCACCATTCATTATCTCCTCTCTAACTCTCTCTCTCATCATTCATCCCAAAACACAAAACCAATAAAAAAACAAATCAAACCCTCCATTATAACACTCACCCCTAAAATTCAATATCCCATATACACTCACCCATTAACATCATATTATCCTTATACACACTCACCCAATACTAAAAAATCCCTTATAACTCACCATTATAATTCATATATCCTTATACACACTCACATCTCAATTCATATATCCTTATAAACAATCACCATATAATATATATCCATTATAACACATACCCCTATAATTATATTATCCCTTATACACACTCACATATAAAAATCTATCCTTAACCCCACACCCATATAATTCATAATCCCTTATCCCCCAACAAAATAAATCTCTACAACCCCACACAAACACAACACTCTACAATATAAAACTACCCATATATTATAAATCCCTAATAACACAACCCATAATAAATATATATCCATATATAACACCACTCACATATAATATAAAATCTCCCTTTACACACTCACCCCATATAATTCATCTATCCCTTCAAACACCACACTAAACCCCAAATAATCCTTAAAACATACCATATATAATATATCCCTTATACAACACTCACCATAAATAAAAAAATCCCATAAACCCAACCCTCAAAAACACAACCCATAACCACCTCACCCTCACCACACAAACCAACACCACCCACCCCAAAATAATTAACCCATATACCCACTCCCCATAAATACACTACCCTAAATCAAACAACCAAAACATAAAAACAAATTAAACTCACATAACAACCAACAAATAACAATACAAAAATACTTAATAAAAATAAACCACCACAAAATAAAATACCCAAAAATCCTTTCCCATACCACCCCACATCTTACTAAAAAACAACCATACATAACCTACAAACACCCCAAACCCCCACAAACAACTAACTATAAAACACACACCCAACACCAAAAAACAAAAACCCAAAAACTCCAACCACCAACAAAACCCCAACAAACACCCCAAAACAACCAACCACCCCACACCCACACACAAACAACTCACCAAAAAATAAATAAATAACTTCCCCAAAAACTAAATAACCTAACACCCCCAAAAATAAAAAACACCAACCAACACAACCCACCCAACAAAACACAACCACAACCACCCCACCCAACCCTCAACTCCCCCTCCACCCACATCAAATCAAAATATCTTATCAACCTCTTCCATCACCCTTCACACCTCCTCCATACATCCCAACACATACACTAACCCAAAACCACCACTACTACTACCCAACCCAACCCTACTAAACCATTACCTCCTTACCCAACTTCCAACCCCCACCCAAAACCCATCTAACCCATCCAACAACCAACTTCCTACCAAATCCACTAAACCCAAACACCTTACCATCTTTCCCCCTCACATTCTCTAACACCCATTACCACCCTACCCAAACAACCAAACAACAAATCCACATAACACTCTACACCATCTACAAACATCACACAAAATCCCATAATAAAAAACCCATTAACCACCTCAACCACATACCCCAAACACACCATACCCTCCACAACCCACCAACCCACCAACACAAACACCACAAACACCACACACCTCGTCATCCATTCCTCTAAACCCATACCTCATACAACTACCCCAACAACATTCCCCATTAAACCAATACACCATCAAAAACTTCCCACATAACACTACCCCCACAAACCCACCAACCCAACCATACCACAAACCCCATTCCACCTCTACCATACTACCATCCAAACACTAAACATTAACACCTCTAACAAACACCAACACAATCCTCAAAACCCAACAACTCAACATACATCCAAAACCATACCTTCTCAAAATAAACCATTACCTCATCTACCTACTACCCCACCAATCCTTAACCCATTACCACCTTACCCTACTTCCCAACACTTCCCTCTATCCCATATACCTACCTTAACCTACTTCCCATCACATTCCTCAAACCCAATCTTACAACCAACCATCCCCAACCCATTCACACCCCCCCCATACCACACACAACACACAACAAAATAACAACAAACACCCAAAAAACCTCAAATAAAAAACCCCCACAAACACACCCACCACCAAATCCAACCCTACAAAAATATAACATATAACTCCACACCAAAAACACTCACTCCACCATAACACAAATAACATCACACCCAACTATATTACAATCAATCATCTAACCTCACCTCAACATCCACCCAACAAACCAAACCCCACCCCCACCACAATAAACCAAAATAATCTACCCAACATCAAAAATTCCAACCCAAAAAAAACAATAACACCCAAATCATAAAAAACCCAACATACTCATCCCAAAAATCAACAAATAAACCTCAAAATCCAACTCTAAAATAATACACTCTCACAAATTAATAATCCCCCCATCCCCACAAACCCTATAAAAAACCCACCAATAAAATCCCACAAACCACCCAACCCCACAACCCACAACCCACCACCCACACACCCACACCACAACCCCAACAAACCAAACCACACAACACCTACACAAACAACACAAACCTTACTATCACTCTCCCCCCCACCCTACCAATCCAATACAAACCACACTCTCTATCAACATATATCTTTCCCCCAACACCAACACACAAACTCCATCCACAACACCCCCCCCAACCCAACCTATAAAACCAAACCCACCATCAAAACCACCCCCCCTACAAACCCCTCTCCACACCCACCCCCCCCCAACCCCACACCACCCCCCACCACAACACCACAAACCCACCCTAACCACACCAAACACAACCAACCACCACACCCACACCCCTAACAACCAATCCCAAAAAAAAACACCCCAACAACCAACACCCAAAATAAAAACCATACATACAAACACAACATACCAAAAAACACAACAACCACAAACACACAAAACACCCCTAACCACCCCAATCCCCCAACATAAAAATTTAAAACATAAACAAAAATAAAACACCAAAACACCACACATCCAAAAAAAAATAACAAATCTTTCCCCTAACACCAACAACCAATCCCCACCCACTCATAAACACACCAAACCCCCCTAACCCACCCACAACACAAAACCTCCACCCACACACAATAAACACACATTCCTTCTGCAGATGTATGAACACACTGTAAACAAGAACGACCAAAACATTACGACCAGGACAGTGCGGTTTCTCTCGTTCTTACACCAACCTCCGCCGTGTTACCCCAGTGTTATTGTGTGTTGTCTTTTTACTTGTTGATCTTCAGCCAGAGGCCCCCAAACTGAAGAGAGCTGTGGGGCAACCGCGGGGCCGGCCCCTGCTGCTGCGAGGGCCCCCTGGGGAGTGGTTATTGTCACGGTTGATTTACGCAACACCATCTGACACTACAGGCCCTGTGTGTGTGCGTGTGTGTGTGTGTGTGTGTGTGTCTGTCGGTGTTTGTGTGTGTGTGTGTGCGTGTGTGTGTGTGTGTGTGTGTGTCTGTGTGTGTGTGTGTGTGTGCTTGAAAAATAGACCGACATAAGAGCATTTTATATTTGCATTTTCTGTGTTGGAACAGTTTGATTCTCTAATCTGAGCTGGTGAATCAACAGCTTTCTGTAGTCTTTGTCGGCGGAGGAAGGAGATGTTGTGATTTAGGGCGATAAAAAAAAACATTTAATTTTAATATTAACATTTTATCATATATACACTTTTTTTTCCAATTTTTCTTTCGTTTTTATTTTTTATTTTTGCATATGTATTTTTTATTTTACTTTTTTATATTATTACTATTATTGTTTTAAATCTTTTAACGGTTTCCTTGTGAATTTGCTTGATTTAACTTGCTAAGAAGTACAGATGATGGGTGAGAAACCTTCCTTTGCTTTGACTAATCCCTGTACGACTGAGGGCTTGCAAACAAAAAACACAAACTTGCTTGAATTATGACTATTTTAATTCCGGGCAAAAAAACAAAAACAAAAAAAAACAGGAAAAAGAATGAATTTCGTTGAATTTGCTTTAAACAGATAAAGTTGGAACATGTCATTTTTCTCGTCCACAAAGTTCCCAGTTCTTCAGAGTAAAGGAGGTGCTTTTCCATGTTCTCCATCGGACAAAAGGATTATGAAAGAATCTGCCTCATCTCCGAGAGTGGCTTCAGTAAATCCACTTATTGTGAAGGAGATTTGCACCTGGTCACACCTGAGAGAGAGACACAAGACGAGAGAGACCGAAACGAGAGAGACACAGGACGAGAGAGACACAGGACAAGAGAGACACAAGACGAGAGAGACACAAAGCGAGAGAGACCGAAACGAGAGAGACACAGGACGAGTGAGACACAAGACGAGAGAGACCGAAACGAGAGAGACACAAAGCGAGAGAGACCGAAACGAGAGAGACACAGGACTAGAGAGACCGAAACGAGAGAGACACAGGACTAGAGAGACTGAAACGAGAGAGACACAGGACGAGAGAGACCGAAACGAGAGAGACACAGGACTAGAGAGACCGAAACGAGAGAGACACAGGACGAGAGAGACCGAAACGAGAGAGACACAGGACGAAAGAGACCGAAACGAGAGAGACACAGGACGAGAGAGACACAAGACGAGAGAGGCCGATACGAGAGAGACACAGGACGAGAGAGACCGAAACAAGAGAGTCACAGGACGAGAGAGACACAGTACTAGAGAGACACAAGACGAGAGAGAGAATACTGAGTCTGGACCAGAGACAAGACAGGTGTTTGGAAACTTTTGACTTTATTCTCTCCCTCTCTCCTTTCTTGCCTCTCTTTATCTCCCTCTCTCTGTCTTTCCCTCCTTTTTCATCTTGCTTTCCCTCTCTCTCACCCTCTCTCCCTCTTTCCTTCTCCCCCCCTCTCCCCCTCTCTTCCTCTTTCCCTCTCTCTCACCCTTTCTCCCTCTTTCCTTCTCTCTCCCTCTCCCCCTCTCTTTCTCTTTCCCTCTCTCTCACCCTCTCTCCCTCTTTCCTTCTCTCTCTCACCCTCTCTCCCTCTTTCCTTCTCTCTCCCTCTCCCCCTCTCTTTCTCTTTCCCTCTCTCTCCCTCCCCCTCGCTCCCTCCCCCACCCTCCTCTCTTCCTCCCTCCCTCTCACCCTCTTTTCCTCTTTCCCTCTCCCCCTCTCTCCCTCCCTCTCCCTCTCCCACCCCCCCCCCCCCCCCCCCCCTCCCTCCCCCTCTCTCCCACACTCTCGTTCTCAGGTGTCACCTGTCAGTCAGGTGGGATCCAGCAGTTTCCTGTCTGGTGTAGCTTTTCTTAATTGGCAACTTGAGGAAGCTGGAGGTTCCAGAACAGTCCAGACACAGAGCAGACGATGACCCCAGGCCTCAAAATATGTATGGATTAAAAAGTATCTGAGCTGTTTTCTGGACAATGACGATGGGTTTGAATGTTGGATTTGGAAAGTAGCATCAATGACATTTGGCAACGTTAGCATGTTAGCTTGTTTGGGTTTTTGGGCACGTAAACGATTTAATACATCAAACCAAAAACGTATACTTATTTTGTCAAAACCTCAGAACTTTATGTTGCATATTTGTAACCGAGGGTACTACTGGGTTAAGCACAAACACTCTCTTTATTAACACAAGTGGTCTAACTCAAAGGCAGTAGTGGAAATAATCCCAAACCATGTCAAAAAATTTCCTTAGACCCTCCTGCATTGGCAAAGAACAACTCATCACCCAGTCAGAAAGAAGTATGAAACCTCTGGAAGACTGAGGACTGAGGCTGTAGACCCAGAACTGAGGTTGTAGACCCAGAACTGAGGCTGTAGACCCAGAACTGAGGCTGTAGACTCAGGACTGAGACTGTAGATCCAGGACTGAGGGTGTAGACCCAGAACTGAGACTGTAGATCCAGGACTGAGGGTGTAGACCCAGGACTGAGGCTGTAGATCCAGGACTGAGGCTGTAGATCCAGGACTGAGGGTGTAGACTCAGGACTGAGACTGTAGATCCAGGACTGAGGCTGTAGACCCAGGACTGAGGCTGTAGACCCAGGACTCATCTACAGTCTCTTCAGTGTGAGACCAATGAAGGTTTCATTGAACCCTGACTGAAGTAAAACAAAACAGATAAATGTTTCAGATAAATAAATACAGCTTAGTTTTGTGAGTGTTTTATCACTTATAAAGCAAGTTGGCCCCGTGCCAGTACACACACACACACACACACACACACATACATACACACACACACACACACACACACACACACACATACAAACAGCCTTTAATCTATTTAATTGAACCTGACTTTGAATAACTAAACGCTGGAGGGTGTTCTCGGGGGCACCTGATCCTCCTTCACTAATGGATTGCAGATTCTTTTCCCATCGCAGCATTTGCACAAACAAGACCAGTAATCCCAGAGTACACGACTCTCTGCCTCACGATTGTTATGTTCCAACTGTGTGTCGTCCATTCTGCCTTTGGACTATCGCCCTTTAACAATCAGTCCTTGGAGAAAGCAATGTCATTTTTTTCTTGTTTGGATTTTCTAAGATGTAGGAGCACTAATTATACTAATAATTGGTATTTACGGTTTTTGTTTTATTATAGGCCTTTTTTGTATTGTGAATGTGCAGTTTATATTAAAATTTGCAATCGCTTACTCACTCCCTTTTCGAGCTGTGTATAACGTTTTTGGCATATATTATTACTCATCTGAATTTATGTTTAAAAGAAATTGTAAAGGCCCACCACCTCTGCGGGTGGACCCACCACCTGCACAGGAGAGTAAGGGATGCAGTAAGGGATGCCGTCAGGCTGAAGAAGGAGTCCTTTCAAGCCATGATGGTTTGTGGTACTCCTGAGGCAGCTGTCCAGTACCGGCAGGCCAAGCATGCCGCGGCCCGGGCTGTTGCAGATGCAAAAACCCGGGACTGGAACAAGTTCGGAGAGTCCATGGAGCATGACTATCGGTCTACCTCAAAGAGATGCTGGCAAACCGTCCGGCGCCTCAGGAGGGGGAAGCAGTTCTTTGCCAACACCGTGTGCAGTGTGGGTGGAGAGCTGCTGTCCTTGACATCCTGCTTGCCTTGATATTGTCGGCCGGTGGAAGGAATACTTTGAGGTTCTCCTCAATCCCCCGTCATGTCCTCCGTTCCAGAGGAAGAGGCTGAGGATGTTGGGGCGGATCCTTCCACCTCCCTGGCTGAGGTCACCAAGGTGGTTGGCACCCTCCATGGTGGTAAGGCGCCGGGAGTGGATGAGATCCACTGGACTTTAGATCTGATTATCTAAAGTCTCTGGGTCTTGTAGGACTGTCTTGGCTGACACGTCTCTGCAATATCGCGTGGCGATCGGGGGGGGAGGCAAATGGAGTGGCAGACTGGAGTGATGGTCCCTCTCCACAAGAAGAGGAGAGTGTGTTCCAATTATTGTGGGATCACACTCCTCAGCCTCCCTGGTAAGGTTTACTCCAAGTTACTGGAGAGGAGGTTGCGATCAATGGTAGAATCTCGGATCCAGGAGGAGCAGTGTGGTTTTTGTCCCAGTCCCAGCTCTATACTCTCCATCGGATACTCAAGGGTTCATTGGAGTTTTCCCAACCTGTCCACATGTGCTTTCGCATCGGCATGTTGGCCTTTGTCACCGGTTTTGTTCACTATCTTTATGGACAGAATTTCTAGGCAATTTGGAGGCCAGGGGTCGGAGGGGTCCGGTTCGGGGACCACAGGATTTCATCTCTACTTTTTGCGGATGATGTCGTCCTGTTGGCTCCAACGAACCAGGACCTGCAACATGCACTGGGACGGTTTGCAGCCGAGTGTGAAGCGGCTGGGATGAGAATCAGCACCTCCGAATCCGAGGCCATGGTGCTCGACCGGAAAAAGGTGCTTTGCCCTCTTCAGGTGGTCCTTCCTCAAGTGGAGGAGTTCAAGTATCTCGGGGTCTTGTTCACGAGTGAGGGAAGAATGGAGCGTGAGATTGAAGGCGGATCGGTGCAGCGTGCGCAGTGATGCGGTCGCTGTATTGGACCGTCGTGGTAAAGAGGGAGCTGAGCCGAAAGGCAAAGCTCTCGATTTACCGGTCAATCTTCGTTCCCTCCCTCACCTATGGTCATGAGCTTTGGGTAATGACCGAAAGAACGAGATCGCGGATACAAGCGGTCGAAATGAGCTTCCTCCGCAGAGTGGCTGCTCCCTTAGAGATAGGGTGAGGAGCTCAGTCACACGGGAGGAGCTCGGAGTAGAGCTGCTGCTTCTCCACGTCGAGAGGAACCAGTTGAGGAGGCTCGGGCATCTGTTCCGGATGCCTCCTGGACGCCTCCCTGGGGAGGTGTTTCGATGAAGATCCAGGACATGCTGGAGGGACAGCTGGCCTGGGAACGCCTTGGTGTATGGATAGGGAAGTCTGGGCGTCTCTGCTTAGACTGCTGCCCCGGCAACGGATGAAGTGGAAAAAAATTGATGGATGGATGGATGTAAATGTGTAAGTTCAAATAAATCTAAATCTGTAGGCCTTTACCAAACGGTTGAGATGCCCCAAAGAGGTATTTTACAGTTCCAAGCTTAAAGTATCACAGGACTCTGATCGGCTGTTGTTAGTTTAACAGAATAATTTAAATACAAAAGGTGGATTGGAGGAGGTTGTGACCAGGAAGCTAACGGACCATCAACAGAGACGAGGGGGCCTTCACATTGGCTCACACTAGGACTCACTTCTCCAGAGAGGGGCCTGGTCAGTCTTCTATCAGGCCCCTGAGCCTTCCTCAGTTTTTATGGATATTTCAAAGACTGTGAAATCCCTCTGAGCTCTGGAGCCACAGTTGCGTCCTCTTGCAATATAATAAATAATATTATAGATAAAAGACGAAGCTCTACTCTACTCTGCTCTGCTCTGCTCTACTTTACTCTACTCTACTCTGCTCTGCTCTACTCTACTCTACTCAGCTCCACTCTACTCTACTCTACTCTGCTCTACTCAGCTCTACTCTGCTCTGCTCTGCTCAGCTCTGCTTTACTCTACTCTACTCTACTCTACTCTGCTCTACTCTACTCTACTCTACTCTACTCAGCCCTACTCTACTCTACTCAGCTTTGCTCTGCTCTGCACTACTCTACTCTACTCTACTCTGCTCTGCTCTACTCTGCTCTACTCTACTCTACTCTGCTCTGCTCTACTCTACTCTACTCTACTCTACTCCACTCTACTCTACTCTGCTCTGCACTACTCTACTCTTCTCTACTCTGCTCTGCTCTGCTCTGCTCTACTCCACTCCACTCCACTCTACTCTAATCTACTCTACTCTGCTCTGCTCTACTCTACTCTACTCTACTCTACTCTACTCTACTCTACTCTACTCTACTCTACTCTACTCTACTCTGCTCTGCTCTGCTCTGCTCTACTCTACTCTACTCTGCTCTGCTCTGCTCTGCTCTGCTCTACTCTGCTCTGCTCTGCTCTGCTCTACTCTGCTCTGCTCTGCTCTGCTCTGCTCTACTCTACTCTACTCTACTCTGCTCTGCTCTGCTCTGCTCTACTCTACTCTACTCTACTCTACTCTACTCTGCTCTGCTCTGCTCTGCACTACTCTACTCTACTCTGCTCTGCTCTGCTCTGCTCTGCTCTACTCTACTCTACTCTGCTCTGCTCTACTCTACTCTACTCTACTCTACTCTACTCTGCTCTGCTCTGCTCTGCTCTGCACTACTCTACTCTACTCTACTCTGCTCTGCTCTGCTCTGCTCTACTCTACTCTACTCTGCTCTGCTCTACTCTACTCTACTCTACTCTACTCTACTCTGCTCTGCTCTGCTCTACTCTACTCTACTCTGCTCTGCTCTGCTCTGCTCTGCTCTACTCTGCTCTACTCTACTCTGCTCTGCTCTGCTCTGCTCTGCTCTGCTCTACTCTACTCTACTCTACTCTGCTCTGCTGTGCTCTGCTCTACTCTACTCTGCTCTGCTCTGCTCTGCTCTGCACTACTCTACTCTACTCTGCTCTGCTCTGCTCTGCTCTACTCTACTCTACTCTACTCTACTCTGCTCTGCTCTGCTCTGCTCTGCTCTCTGCTCTGCTCTGCTCTGCTCTGCTCTACTCTACTCTGCTCTGCTCTGCTCTGCTCTGCTCTCTCTGCTCTGCTCTGCTCTACTCTACTCTGCTCTGCTCTACTCTGCTCTACTCTGCTCTGCTCTGCTCTGCTCTACTCTACTCTGCTCTGCTCTACTCTACTCTGCTCTGCTCTACTCTGCTCTACTCTGCTCTGCTCTGCTCTGCTCTACTCTACTCTACTCTACTCTGCTCTGCTCTACTCTGCTCTGCTCTACTCTACTCTGCTCTACTCTGCTCTACTCTGCTCTGCTCTACTCTGCTCTACTCTACTCTGCTCTGCTCTGCTCTGCTCTGCTCTACTCTACTCTACTCTGCTCTGCTCTACTCTACTCTACTCTACTCTACTCTACTCTGCTCTGCTCTGCTCTACTCTACTCTACTCTGCTCTGCTCTGCTCTGCTCTGCTCTACTCTGCTCTACTCTACTCTGCTCTGCTCTGCTCTACTCTACTCTACTCTGCTCTGCTGTGCTCTGCTCTACTCTACTCTACTCTGCTCTGCTCTGCTCTGCACTACTCTACTCTACTCTACTCTGCTCTGCTCTGCTCTACTCTACTCTACTCTACTCTACTCTGCTCTGCTCTGCTCTGCTCTGCTCTACTCTGCTCTGCTCTGCTCTGCTCTACTCTACTCTGCTCTGCTCTGCTCTGCTCTGCTCTACTCTGCTCTGCTCTGCTCTACTCTACTCTGCTCTGCTCTACTCTGCTCTACTCTGCTCTGCTCTGCTCTGCTCTACTCTACTCTGCTCTGCTCTACTCTACTCTGCTCTGCTCTACTCTGCTCTACTCTGCTCTGCTCTGCTCTGCTCTCCTCTCCTCTACTCTACTCTGCTCTGCTCTACTCTGCTCTGCTCTACTCTACTCTGCTCTGCTCTACTCTGCTCTACTCTGCTCTGCTCTACTCTGCTCTACTCTACTCTGCTCTGCTCTGCTCTGCACTACTCTACTCTACTCTACTCTGCTCTGCTCTGCTCTGCTCTACTCTACTCTACTCTACTCTACTCTACTCTGCTCTGCTCTACTCTACTCTACTCTACTCTACTCTACTCTGCTCTGCTCTGCTCTACTCTACTCTACTCTACTCTGCTCTGCTCTGCTCTGCTCTGCTCTACTCTACTCTACTCTACTCTGCTCTGCTCTGCTCTGCTCTACTCTACTCTACTCTGCTCTGCTCTGCACTACTCTACTCTGCTCTGCTCTGCTCTACTCTACTCTACTCTACTCTACTCTGCTCTGCTCTACTCTACTCTACTCTACTCTACTCTACTCTGCTCTGCTCTGCTCTGCACTACTCTACTCTACTCTACTCTGCTCTGCTCTACTCTGCTCTACTCTACTCTACTCTGCTCTGCTCTACTCTACTCTAC